TAGGGGTCTACGGTAGTTTAGTGGTCAGTGCTGCAGTCTCTTAATCTTGAGGCTGCAGGTTTGAGCCCAGATTGTATAAGAAAAGGCATTCACCTAAAATGATTGCCAAATCTTTTGTTCAGTTTCCCTTGTTGTTGTGACCCCTGCAGAAGGGAGTAGCTGAAAGTAAAACATTTATTTTAATTTTAGTAAGGGCATGAATAAAGTGCAATATTTTTATTTATTGCTTTTCATCCTAATTTTACATTTAAGAAAGTATTGGACTTTTAAAAATTGTGTCTTTTTTTTTAATTATCTTAATCACACTCAACAATCCTTCACATCAAATCAATTCAGCTTTCACTCTGAGTTCAGAACATTTAGACAGATTTTTATGAAGAGTTATCCTTCAAACAGGGAGTGTTATAAAAAATAGTTGTTTATTGTTAGATTTGTAGTTTATGTTTTGCAGTATGAAAACATACAAACACAAAAGTTCTCTGGCGCCCCCTTTTGGTGATTCATATAACTGCAAATGTGTTAATATTAATTCGTGGTGAATTAAGACAGATCATGCATCATGGTGTCAAAAATAATGGCTTAGAAATTTAAATACACTATTAAAACTGAAATTATCAAATTGTGAAAGCAACTACATTTAAGTAAATGTAAACTAATCAACATAAAACACTAATAATTTTCTGAATGAAACACTTACCAGCAGACTCACCTAAACGTGGCAGTTCCAGCACCTCTCTCTCCTTTCCTCTTTGTCCTGCCTCTGTGTTTGTTACTGGTAACCCAGTGTCTTCTTTAATACTGATCTCATGCTGGCTCTCTTTATGTAGGATTTCAGAGCAGTGCAGCTGTCCTGTATCCTTCATATGCTCTGTGGTTTCCTCATTGTCTGCTGTTGTTTTACTATCAGTGTCATCTTCCATAATGACAGATATTAAATGCATCTTTTTTAAGTTAGGACCCCTGTTGTGCTCCAGTATAAGTGTTGTGAGCTCAGACTGGACTGGTCCCTCAGTTTGGTCATGTCCTGCTCCTTCAACCACAGTACGGTCACTAGGAGGCTGACTGTTGGACTCTGATTGTTCATAAAGTATTTCTCCATCTTTCACCCCACTAGTGGTCTGTTTAGACTTTAATCCACTTCCTAAATTGTCTTCTGGTTTATTTCCGTCAACATTCATGACAGTTTTCTCTTCATTTTGTACAACTGATGTGTTAACTGTCTCTTTACATGCTTCAGGGCAGGACGACGGTGTGCAACAGGCTACAGACGGAGAATAAGGCTCTTCTGCTGGAGGTTCAAACATCTCATTAAGGCCTTCTTCATCTGGGAATTCAAGTGGGATGAAAGAAGCGAAACTTTGAAAGAATGGGGGAAAAAAAAGGAACACGGATATTTTTAAAATCCCTGCTTTTCACCATATGCACTAATAAAAGATCATTGTATGCCTGTCATTACAACGTCTAAATAAATAACTGTCTAAACAGTGTTTCTATTCAAAAGAAACAAGCCTGTCTTAAAACACTACTTTCTGTTTCTTACGTTGTGCGAGGTGTAGCTTGTTCAGCATGTCTGCCAGGTATTTGGAGGGAGCTGGAATATCTGTCTTGATGGCAGGATACTCGTGAGTCAGGAGCATCTTGCTGGGAGAACGACAGTGTGGGTCCAGACAGGTCCGCAGGAGGCTCTGAGCAGATCCTGTCGGAGGACGTCTGGGAATACGAATAACAGGCTGCTGTTTGAGGAGTCCTTCTACGGAGTGAGACGTCCCAGCAGGACGAGGACTGGGATGATGCTGGTATCTGACAGTACTGATGGGAGGCTGACGTCTGAGAGGTCTGCAGCTCATTGGAGGTGGAAAGTGATACCTGGTGCCTGAACCAAACCATTGGAGAATTGTTTTGTGTTTGAACAGTATGATCATAAAACTTACAGTGCATTATTTGAACATAGTTTCTAACTATAAACTTATATTTTGATATATATTTTATATAACTGATATTTTCTAACAGTCACTGTTTTGTTTATATTTAGTTTTACTTACTGTTTCAAACCACTGGTGTGCTGTCAATACTAGAAGTCAAATTGTTTTTGCACCATTCTGATCAGTTTAAAATTGCAACTTAAGAATATTCATTAAAACTAATGAAGTCTTAATAAAATCTCAAATGGTATAAATACTGACATATTTGTCATGGCTTTGCTTTTACAAGAAAAAAAAAAGATTTATTGGTAGTTATGGTTGAACTTTATTCTTTCTTGGTGCTTTATAGCTGATAAAGAATAATCTAATAGCTTCAACTGCAGTTTGTTCCGCTAAATCCCAGTGAGGCCATCATTAAAACATTTTTTTTAACTCAGGCTTTGTTAGCACAAAGTCCAACATAATGGATTACTAAAGGCAAGTTAAAGCAAATATTTAAACAGTCTTATTGCATGTTCTTTATGTCGTTGTATAACAATCATTTATCTCACTTACCAATAAGAGTAGCCATCTTTTCTTTCCACTGCATTCCAGCTACTCTGAGTCAGATGCTCTGGATGGCTGTAATTACACCCCTTTACTAACAAACATAAAAAAGACCAAAACACAAATATCACACAGTACTGTGCAGAAGTGCTGAGTCACCACTTGTTTATGTATTTTGATTTCAAGCAGATAAGACATTCTTGTAATCTTCTCAAGTGCTCCAAATCAAAATTTCTAAGATTTTTAAAGTTAATTTTTTACTTTGGCTGTTTTTAAATTCATTTTCAGTCTGCTTATCATTATCAAATAAGTGTTTTATATTTTCTTTCTTAATCCTCTTAAAGACAACCTAGATTATATAATCATTTAGGCATAAAGACTCCTAAACTTAATAACTAATTTTAATTTGTATCTTTATACACATTTTAATTAGCAGCCTGTCACAAAGACATAGTTTGTTTCCTTTCTAGCTGAATCTATAAAATTACCAAAGATAACGTGAGACACATAAAGCAGCATCAAGATCTATTAGCTGTACTTGATATTCATCAGGTGAACAGCTGAAGGGTAATGCATGACTGATTTCTTCTGCGAGATCTTTGCAGGATTCATGTTAGTTCTTTTTAACCCTCCTCATATTAAAGCACACTGCACAATATGCTGTCTGGGTCAGGAGCAAGAACTGGAATGTGAAAGCAGCCAAAGTTTAAAACAAACAAAAAAACTTGAAGGAACCTTCAAAAAGATTAAAGAAATGTTAAAAAAGCATTGCATGATGCATGCTCATTAATCCAGGTAGATAAATCTAGTACCGTATTTTCCAGCATATAAGCACCCTTTTACATAAATTTTTGACTGACATTTGACGCTTTCATTCATTCTGACATTCACCAGATTAAACATTACTATTTGCAGCTGCGAGAGGCACGAGAGGGCCGTCTAGGCTTTTGACAACTACCGCTACCACCCCCACCCCCCACACACATTTACGTAGAGACAGCTGAGAAAAACTTAACATAAGTAAAATGCCCCCAAACAGAAAATCCTATACTGTAGATTACAAACTGCAGGTAATATAATATAATATGCAGCGCAAAACGTAATCAAGCAGAACGAACGTTTGTAAATGGGTCAGGTCCGCGCAGTCTGCCCGGGGGATTCAACCCGACGGCCGCATGGCGGTGGAGGATCCCCCTCGCGGGGAACACCCCTGGTGTGCCACCCACCCATCCATCGCGGCTCCGGCTGCGAGCGCTACAGCCTTCCTCCAGCGCCGGAGCAGGGAGGAAAGCTCCACAGCGGTGCGCCACCCATCCATCCATCGCGGATTACGTGTCTGGGGCAGCGAGGTGTGTGATCAGTGATCCCGGGAAGCAGCGCGGTGCGGACATGGGAACTCTGTACAGCCATGAGCCTTCATGAGCGGGGACAGCTTCGGGACAGCTTCATTTTGCCGCGCAGCCCAGGCGAAATGCTGTTTTGACCAATAAAGTGCATTTATTAAGGAAAAGTTCAACTGAGACACACCTTTGCTATAATGTCTAGCAAACAAACAACTGTTTTTAAGTGTTAATCTTGTTAAATTCTTATTAATGTCCTCTCGTGAATGCTCCCATGACCACCATTTGTCAGCCAATTGATTTTTGGCACAGCGGCCCAGATTTCCAGGGGAGTCAGCGGTGACGCATAAATGCGACTTGTACGGCGACGTGACACATTTGTTTTTCCCCCCACTTTATTAAACATTTTTGGATTGATGCGACATGTACGCTGGAGCGACGTATACGGCGGAAAATACAGTATTAACCTCTTACAGATCTTCCACTAGTATCAACCTTGCTAAATTGATCACTTTGAAACATTACCAGCAAGCATGACTGATTCAAAGCAAGAAATACATTTTTAATAAATGTAGTTTAGTCTATTTCTGACTGACTTTGTCTTTGGTAAGTAGAGAAGTGCTGGTTGCCTCTGGCCTCATGAGGATTCTGGGCCCGCAGAACAGCCAGGATCTTCAGTGCTGCCTGGGAGAGGGGGCCTGTGTACAACCTGTTGCTGGACTGCTCCATCTCCTCCCTAACTGATGAACTGCCTGCTCGTCTCTGTCTGATCTTTGACACTTTAGCTATTAAAGACCTGGACAGGACAAAAAGAAAGCTGGTTTCAGAGATTCAAAAACACGATTTAAACTAGAATCTTACAAAAAACATTAAGCAACATGTGACAAGAGAAAAAAAACTCATTAAAACTTCACAAGGATTGGATTTTACTTTATTTAATGATGACAAGTGAACAATACATTTTCAAACTTCATGAGACTAAACAAAACTAAAAACATTTGTGCACCAAATTAACTCCACATATTATTTTTCCAGTATCACCACTGTTCATCACAAAATAAGCTGAGGTTGGTTCAAACGTGTTAAAACCTCAGTCCCTTTAAACTTCAGCTACAGAAAACAGATTCTTGTTATCAGAACAGGAATGAAAGTAAAGCCGAGGGGTTGTCAGAGTTCCTTGAACTCTTTGTTGTCAGGCGTCACTGCTGCCTCTGTTAGCCGTCTTGCTTTCAAGATCTTCCACTACTTTCTGCAAAAGCTGAGGATCCAAGTGGAAGAAGATGTACAGTTCCCTCTCCCGTCTAAGAAGGGCGTTACGGTCTAGTTGAGATCGCTTGGCTTTGATTTCTGCCAGGATTTCATGCATTACCTGTTGCAGATCCTGCAACTGAGACTCTGCTTCCACAAGCTTCAGTGTCAGCTCCTGCAAATGTGGAGGATAACCCACAGACAAAAAAAAAAAGAACTGTGTAAACAAATCTGTGTAACAAACTGAAAAAAAAAATTGTAACTTAAATCACATCTTATTACAGTTTTGATTTAAACTAAACTAAATATAAATAAGACAGTTGTGTGGTTAAAAGTTTCTCATACCCGACTGCCTAAGTGTGTAGTTTAAAGGAAATGTATCTTATTTTCAATGTAACAAAAACACAAGTGCTGTAAATGCTAAATTCACACAAAATTAGTAGCAGCCATGACATTTCAAAATACTGAAATGACACAGCAAAATAAAATGGGGCTGCATCTGAGAAATGTGTATCAGTGAAACTGATGAGTCGTAATTAGTAAAGTGGCCAAAATTCTAAAATAACTAGAGACATTTCCTGATGCATGCTCAATAATTCAGGTAAAAAAAAATCTAAAAAAGTTCAATCTGGATTTACCAGATTTAACTTTTTTAAACTAGAGAAATTGCATTTCCTGTGAAAATACAGAGTGACTGCTTATTGCTGACGAACTTCCTGAACAGCAGCTGAAATTAGCTGAAAAAACATGCTGAAATGTAAGAACAAGCTTAAATTACAAGAAGAAAGCAGAAAAAAATGCATTTGCAGAATTAGGTTTAAATAAGCAGTAATTAGAACAAAAATTAGGAAATTAGCTTAAAAAAAAATCTAAAAAGTAGCTAAAAAGGCAGAAAGAAACTTAAGCTACCAGAAGGAAGCAGAAAGAACTGAAATTAGCTAAAAATGTGGAATTAGCTGAAAAAGCTAATATTAGCATTAAAAAAATATGCAGTAGTAGCTGAAATAACTGAAACTAGCAGAAATAGGCTGAAATGAGCAACAAGCATAAAGAACAAGTGAACAAGAGAACAAGCATAAAAAAGTTAATTAGCTTGAAAGTAGCAGAAATTAAATCTCACAAAACTTGAATTTATCAGAAAACAACTAAAATTAGATTAAAAAAAAAAGATAGAAATGTCTTTGAAAATGTGGAACAAGCTTAAATTAGCAGAAGGAAGCAGAAAGAACACATGGTTGCCCAGTTAGGCTTAAAGAAGCAGAAATGAGCGCCAAGTGGAAATTATGTGGGGAAAAAAGCATACATTTGCCAAAAACAGTTGAAAAGTAGCTAAAAAGGCAGAAAGAAAGTGATATTAGCAGAAAAAAGTTTAAATGAGTGCAAATAATATAGCTTAAAAAACTAAAATTAACATAAAAACTGCTAAATAGTAGCTGAAATGGCAGAAATAAGCTGAAAGGAGCATAAAAAGCTGAAATTAGCAGAAAGTAGTTAGAAGAAACACAAAAATGTTGTAGTTAGCAGAACAAATCTAAAAGGAGCTTAAAACAGCTGAAATTAGCTGAAAGTAGCTGAAAAAGGTTTTATTAATTTGCACAAAGACTCTGAAAGAAGCTGAACCAGAACAAAATGTGAAAGGAGCAGTAAAAGGTTGTAACACATCTAAAGATCTGAAGGACGAAAAATGAGCTCAGTTAATTTTCTATGAGGAAAAAGTGACAGAAAAGACTAAATATTTCAAAAAGCTAAAGTTGCACCAACACCAAAAGTCATAGCAGGATTGTCCTGAAAGAGCTGAACATTTTGATTTATGATTTGTTGAAATACACAAAAATTGTTGATTGAGAAAGATGCTGAAAAATGTACAGAAGAAAAATGGATCACAACAGTAGCATTCACATTATTACATCACTGTTCAATAGATCGATTAAAGTTGGTCCAGATGGTGCAAGGACCAGCAAGTTGCTAAACACCATGTTACAATAAATAAACACTACAACAGCTTTTGGCCACAGCTTTGGCTAAACTATCGGTATCTATTTTAACGTGAACACTACAATATTTCAGCATTTTATCAGATGCCATGGTCAGTTTCATTTTACGATTGTTTACATGGAATTTCAGTTATTTGCAAGTGTCAATAGCACCAACAGCTGTAGGGCTTTCCTTGGGAATATTTGACACCAACAGCGATGTAAAGGTTTACAACAGAACGAAACTGGCATGGAAAGCTATGGGGTTTTTTTTTTACACTATGACAGCAATGATTCACCATAACCTTGTTCCCACTTGGACTAGCAATTAGCTCATCAATCCAGCCAGAATTACCGTAAGCTAAAGTTCTAGGAGCCATCGTCAACAGGTAGTTGTTCATAACCTTTCCACAGAACCCACTTCAAAAGATCTGAGTTTCCCTTATAAATAGTGTTTATTGCACACTACTCAGTATATTTTCCTACAAACTTGGACTGTGGAATGTGTGAAAATTACAAAACAAAAGTTGTTACTGAGAAGCTAAATAAGAAAATGTGTATAGATTCAGTGGACATAATACGACCTGCTTCAGCATGTTGAGTGATAGTAAAATAGTTCCTCGTGAGTGCTACCTACAGAACTTTAAAAGCCAGTATGTGACACAGAAACCCATTAGAACAATGTGCAAAAAACTAAAACTGTGCTACCAGCTTCCCTCACCAAACAGTGATCAATAATTATAAAATTAATCAACTCACTCAGCTAAACGGTTGATCAAAGAAGAGTGAAAGGAAATACACCCACCTGTGCATTGGGGCAAAGGAGCTCCTGGTCAGCACTGGATGTTGGACATACCTGCGGGCGTACGACCAGCTGCTGGAGCTCTGTGTAAGAGGCCCTGTAGAGTGCCTCGCAGTCACCATAAAGACGGGCTGCAGTGTAGCGCTGCTCACGGCGGGCTCCGGCCAGAGAGTCTCGGGTCAGCTGGAGGTTGGTCACCAAATTGTGAGCTGCCTGGTCCAAAGCTTCGTAAGTTCGAAAAGGCTCGGATCGGCCATGGCTTGAATCATGCTCAAGAAGCTGGAGCAGTCTGAGGAGACGAAAGGGCACAAAAACACATTGCAGAGTGAGATTGTCTTTATATGTTCAAAAAGAAAATGTAATAAGTAAATAAGATTTTAGATAAAAATGCAGTACTGAAGAGGCTTGTTTAGCTGTGCAAGCATGACAACACGAAACCTCATAGCTGAGTAAATAAACCAAGTGACTTGTGCTTCCACCTATCCTTACTTTTCCAAATGTTCATTAACTTAAGACACAAAAACAAATGACTTGACATGTTTAATAATAATAGCGGAGAAAAAGTTATTTTAACCTTTAAATACATGCACTTCTAGAATGCTGACACTGGGTAAAAATCAGATTATAAAAGCTCTAAAGCAGAGGTTGTCAAAGTCAGTAAGCCTCCCTCAGACAAAATGCTGGAAAACACACACCCACTTACTTGACTTTCTTGCTTACTTTTTAGTTTTGCTAAATTCCAGCAATAATACTACACATTTCTCTGTTAACCCTGTACCCACTTAAGAAAAGATTACCACACAGTGCTTATAGACCTATCTACATAAATGTCAGCGATAGTGTGAATGTTTACGAAGCATTCACACTATTGTGATCCATTTTTCTTCCACACATTTTTCTGCATCTTTCTTGTTCCACAATAGCTTTTTCGGCTAATTCCAATTTTTTTTGTTTTTTATTAACTTATTTCAGCCTAATTCAGCAAAAATGTGCTTTCTCCTCTTCCTTCTAGAAATTTAAACTTCTTTCTGCTTTTTAGCTACTTTTCAGCTGTTTTTTGTGCTAATTTTAGCTTTTTTTAAAAATTCAGATAATTTCCACTTTGTGCTCATTTCTGCTACTTTCAGCCTAACTGGTCAAACATGTGTTCTTCATACTTTCTTCTTCTAATTGAAGCTTGTTCAACATTTTCAGCTACCATTTTATAGCTAATTTCAGCTGTTTACAGATAAATTCAAGTTTTTTTAGGTGATTTCTGCTACTTTCAGCCTAATTAACTTCTTTCTGCCATTTTCAGCTAGTTATGCTAGTTTCAGTTATTTATGTTACTATTTAGCTGTTAAATGGACTTGGTGTTCCCTCGCCCGGATCTGGGTCACCGGGGCCCCACTCTGGAGCCAGGCCTGAAGGTGGGGCACGTGGGCGAGCGCCAGGTGGCCGGGCTTTTACCCATGGAGCTCGACAGGGCACAGCCCGAAGAGGAGACGTGGGTCCCCCTTCCCATGGGCTCACCACCTGTGGGAGGGGCCAAAGGGGTCGGGTGCAATGTGGGATGGGTGGTGGCCGAGATCGGGGACCCTGGCGGTCTGATCCTCGGCTACAGAAGCTGGCTATTGGGACGTGGAATGTCACCTCACTGGTGGGGAAGGAGCCTGAGCTGGTGTATGGGGTACCGGCTAGAAATAGTCGGACTCACCTCTACGCATGGCTCGGGATCTGGAACCAGTTTTCTTGAGAGGGGCTGGACACTCTTCCACTCTGGAGTTGCCCCTGGTGAGAGGCACCGAGCAGGAGTGGGCATACTTATTGCCCCCCATCTTGGTGCCCGTGTGTTGGGGTTCACCCCGGTGAATGAGAGGGTGGCCTCGCTCCGCCTACGTGTGGGGGGATGGGTTCTGACTGTCATTTGTGCTTATGCACCAAACGGCAGTTCAGATTATCCACCCTTTTTGGAGTCCTTGGAGGGGGTACTTGAAAGTGCACCTCCTGGGGACTCACTTGTTCTGCTGGGGGACTTCAATGATCACATGGGCAATGACAGTGAGACCTGGAGGGGTGTGGTTGGGAGGAACGGCCCCCCTGATCTGAACCCGTGTGGTGTTCTGTTGTTGGACTTCTGTGCTCGTCATGGATTGTCAATAACGAACACCATGTTCAAGCATAAGGGTGTCCATATGTGTTCTTGGCACCAGGACACCCTAGGCCGCAGTTCGATGATCGAATTTATCATTGTCTCATCTGATCTGCGGTCACATGTCTTGGACACTCGGGTGAAGAGAGGGGCGGAGCTGTCCACTGGTGGTGAGTTGGCTCCGATGGTGGGGGAGGATGCCAGTCAGACCTGGCAGGCCCAAACGTATTGTGAGGGTTTGCTGGGAACATCTGGCAGAGTATCCTGTAAGACGGAGTTTTAACTCCCACCCCCGGGAGAACTTTGAACATGTTCCGGGGGAGGTAGGGGACATTGAGTCCGAGTGGGCCATGTTCCGTGCCTCTATCGTTGAGGCGGCTTAAAGGAGCTGCGGCCGCAAGGTTGTCGGTGCCTGTCGTGGCGGCAACCCTCGAACCCGGTGGTGGACACCGTCGGTGAGGGATGATATCAGGCAGAAGGAGTCCTATCGGGCCTTTTTGGCCTGTGGGACCCCGGAAGCAGCTGATGGGTACCGGCAGACCATGCGGCTCGGGTGGTCGCTGAGGCAAAAACTCGAACATGGGAGGAGTTTGGAGAGACCATGGAGAATGACTTCTGTACAGCTTCGAGGCGATTCTGGTCCACCATCCGGCGTCTCGGGGGGGAAAGCGGTACGTCACAAACACTGTTTATAGTGGGAGTGGTGCGCTGCTGACCTCAACTCGGGATGCCGTGGGTCGGTGGGCAGAATACTTTGAAGACCTCCTCAATCCCACTGGCACGTCTTCCACTGAGGAAGCGGAGCCTGGGGACTCTGGGTCGGGTCCTCCAATCTCTGGTGCTGAGGTCACCGAGGTGGTTAAAAAGCTCCTCGGTGGCAGGGCCCCATGGGTGGATTAGATTCGCCTGGAGTTCCTTAAGGCTCTGGATGTTGTAGGGTTGTATTGACTTACGCAACTCTGCAATATTGCGTGGACATCGGGGGAAGTTCCCCTGGATTGGCAGACCGGGGTGGTGGTCCCCCTATTCAAAAAGGGGGACCATAGAGTGTGTTCCAACTACAGAGGGATCACGCTCTTAAGCCTCCCTGGTAAGGTATATTCGGGGGTTCTGGAGAGGAGGGTCTGTCGGATAGTCGAACCTTGGATTCAGGAGGAGCAGTGCGGTTTTCTTCCTGGTCGTGGAACACAGGACCAGCTCTACTCTCTCAGCAGGGTCCTGGAGGGTGCGTGGGAGTTTGCCCAACCGGTCTACATGTGCTTTGTGGACTTGGAGAAGGCATTTGACCACGACCCTCGGAGAACCCTGTGGGGGGTACTCTGGGAGTATGGGGTACCGGGCCCTTTGATACGGGCTGTTAGGTCCCTGTATGAGCGGTGTCAGAGCCTGGTCCGCATTGCCGGCGGTAAGTCGGACTTGTTCCCGGTGAGAGTTGGACTCCGCCAAGGTTGCCCTTTGTCACCAATTCTGTTCATAAGCGGCCAAAATGAGTTTTCTCCGCAGGGTGTCTGGGCTCTCCCTTAGAGATAGGGTGAGAAGCTTGATCATCCGGGAGAGACAGAGCAGAGCCGCTGCTTCTCCACGTCGAGAGGAGCCAGTTGAGGTGGCTCGGGCATCTGTTTAGGATGCCTCCTGGACGCCTCCCTGGTGAGGTGTTCCGGACACGTCCCACCGGAAGGAGGCCCAGAGGAAGATCCAGGACACGCTGGAGGGACAATGTTTCTCGGCTGGCCTGGGAACGCCTTGGGATTCCCCCGGAGGAGCTGGACCAAGTGGCTGGGGAGAGGGAAGTCTGGGCCTCCCTACTTAGGCTGCTACCCCCGCGACCCGACCAAGGATAAGCGGAAGAAAATGGATGGATGGATGCTAATTTTAACTTTTTCAGCTAATTTCACAGTTATTGCACTCGTTTAAGCTTATTTCATCCTAATTCAGCAACAATGTGCTCTCTCCACTTCCTTCTGGTAATTTAAGCTTCTTTCTACCTTTTCAGCAATTTTGTTGCAAATTTCAACTGTAGTGAACTCGGCCTCCGACCAAAACCTGTCTCTGAAGACCTGCATGGGACAGGAACTGTTATTTCATTGATTTGAATCCAGAAATACAAATTAGCTCATCCAGAGACTGTCTAATTGCATCCTGAAGTAATCAATTGAAAGAACACACTTTTTTTTTTATATTATCATTACTATTTTACAATATCTTGATAATCAAAAAGTGTGTTTAGTTCATATCATTCCTAATGTTGAAGTGAACCACTCATTTTAAATCAACTGTGAAACAGTATTAATGATTTTTTTAAACCTCATTTAAATTAGAAATCAAGTTAAATGTCTATTTACAAAGTAATTATGCATTTTGATTTTCTGTCTAAATGAGAAGTCAGTGATGTAGGTCAAAAGTCAGAGACAGTCAGAAAAGAAGTTATTAGAACGGGCTGTATTGTTTTTAAACCTAGCAGACGGTAAAAAGAGAAACACTGGCATCTGCGTTTGTCTCACTTGGCCATAACATTTCTCTGTCTGTACTAAACGTTCCTAAACATTCTTGCACTCTCTCTTGACTTTTAATAACCCTCTGACATCACTAGAACCACCCCCCGTTGGTTGTTTCAACCAATCAGGAAGTCCTAAGTGACCGGAAGTGAGGACTCTTTTAAAAGTCAGCACTTCCTGGAACTAGGAAGTCTTCTCCGTCTTCTCAAGTTCTTCTAAGTTCTTCTGAAGTCTTCTCAAGTTCTTCTGAGTCTTCTTGACTCTTCAGTCTTTGATCTGAGTTGAACTCAGTCTTTGATGGAGTCTTCTCAAGCCTTGTGGAGTCTTCCACTTCTGAGTGGAAACTCTGACGGACTCACAGATGCTTGCTGTGAATCCACCCGGGCGTAATGCCTCCAACTTCGAAGGGAGCCTGTTTGTTGAACGGAGTAAATCGACACGACTTCTGACAATGACCAGCCGCTCTAACCGGAGACACTAGAAGGTAGCGTTGAAATTGACCCGATACCGGAGCTGATTCATCTCCTGCGAAGGTAACGAGTCGTCACGCGCCAAGTGTACCTGAGGTTTGAGCTGGTGATTGAAAGAAGCGTGCCAATTCTGGTCAACAACATACACCTTTCTCCATCCATCTCTTCTTTAAACCTCTAAACTCCTTCCTTTAAACTCTTCTATTTTGCCAGTAATCTAGATGCCTTCAGAAATGTCTTGTCTTATTAGTAAAGCGTGCCAAGTTTTACTAATCAGAACCAGATCAGCTAATCAAGTGTACAATGTTTTGATGTTAAATTTTGATTCTGTTAAATAAATGACCGCATTTATTCTGATGGGTCAAAGGAAAATTAACGTCTCTTGTCACTGATTAAACAATACTCACAGTTACCTCGGTCACATGGCATTAATTTAACTCGAAAAAGAAAGAACCCGTTATATTTAAATAATTAGTAGTGAAGGTACAGCGAAGCTGCACCCCACTTTCACTACATTTAGTGGGACCGTACGCGTTTTAAATAACACATTTGGTGGGACCGTATGTCCACAGCAAAGCTGTCCTTGACACACTACACAACTTTTAGAGCTAATTTACTAATTTGTGCTCATTTCTGCTTATTTAAACTTAATTCAGCAAATATGTGTTCTTTCTGCTTTCTTCTGCTAACTTAGTCTTGTTCTTCTTTTTCAGCTACATTTCAATATGTTTTTTGCCAATTTCAGCTGTTTTCAGCAAGTTCTTCAGCAATAAACATTCACACTGCATTTTCACTGAAAATGCCATTTCTCTAGTTACATTAATGGTTTGTTCAAAAGTGTTTGTTAGCTTTGTACTTGAGAAATATAGTCAAATATTATCAGAGATTTTTAACCAAATCATGTACAATCAGGTTTTAATAAATAATAAAATATATGTAGTCCTAACGTGTAGAAAACATCTGCTATGAATAAACATCTTAAACACACAGTTCCACTCATCCTACCTGCTGAAAGCAGCGTCCCTGCAGCTGATGATGGGGTTGGGTCTTGGGTTTATTGCCAGGTCTGGGTGCGCCAAAGACTCGATCCTTAAAGATGAAGCTTTGCCTTCCTTCAACAGTCGGCCTTCAATTTCACCCAGCTGCTTCTGACACGTCTGCCACCTTCTCAGCTCTATCTCATGAGCCAGAAGGAGTAGATCAAAGGATGCTTTCTGACGGAGTAAGTAGTCACGAACCTATATGGAAAGATTTTATTTTAGATCAACTATTCTGTATGATTCACAGCTCCAGTGTCACAAAATGGCAACAAAGAGATGCTCAATCTCTTCTTAAATGTTTGTAAAATTCCTACAATAGAGCAGGTGTTCCCAAACCTCAGTTTCTGACCCACAAAATAACAGCAGCAGAGACTTGTGATCCCGACTCATTGCTAATAGTCATTAAGAATCAATCAGAACCATTGACCACTCCTTCCCTCACGCAGAAGGTTGTGCAGCCTCAGAGCCTGAAACGAGGCTAAGGAACAGCTGTTTTCCCCTGAGGCTGAATCTCATAAACTCAGTTCCTTAAGCTGCATTCTAAATTTTGATTTCATCAATGGAACTTTAGGTTGTTAGTCTATATTTTATTTTAGACTGATCTGAGGAATACATTTTGTTTTCCCGTTTCTCAGACATAATGAATGAGAAAGAAATCTGAGTCTCGTTTAAACATGACAAAAACATTAACTTGTTACTTAAATTTATCAGAATTTTTTACATTTTTTAATTCTTAAACGTAGGTTTATAAGCAATCATTCATTTTAAAAGATTATCCAGTTTCTAAATAAAAATTATTTTAAGACCCCTCATTTGATGTTTTATTACGCAACTTTTGGGAACCACTGTTTTTAAGCAAACATGTTCTCTCTGTGCATGTGTCGATGTCGACCATTTAGCAACTAAATAGCCTGAGGTGTGAGTGAGAGTGAATGGTTGCCGTTTCATTTGCCTCTATGTAACCCTGTGACGGATTTGCAACCTGTCCAGGGTGTAACCCGCCTCTAACACAGTGACTACTAACCCAGAAAAGGAAAAAATAGTGAAAAAAATAATGGATTGTATATTTTAAGCATGACATTTTAATTCTCCCTGACCGACTGACAGTTTGTAAGATTCTTACGATGTTGGCTTCATATATTTACAGCAGAAACCAGCTAAAGGTGTAATCAGTGGTGTCAGCTACTGACCTGGTCCTGCCTGGAAGTGTAGAAGTTCTGCCTGGCGAGCTGGAGCTCCAGGTCTCCTCTGACAACAGGAACATTAAGCAGCCTGGCTGACTCTCTGAGTGCAGCAGGGACGGGTCCATGAAGCAGAGCTTCTAGTTCAGCCTCTACAGCCTGCAGCTCTTTTCTGGTCATGACTTCCCGCATGTTCAGAGAGGAGGAAGTGGAAATGCTCTGGCACAGTGAAGTGAAACATACAAGGTGGAAAACGATGATGCTGATCATGAGACACACAAATAAAAATCTTGTTTGCATTTGTTTTACCTTAGTATGACAAGCCTTTTCTGCGAGCCACTCTAATCCAGCTTTAATGCTCTTCTCCTCTGCTATGGCTTGTATCAGCTGATGCTGAGCTACAACATGTGCCCACTGAAGTCTGGCCATCTCTGTTCTCCTGCCCTCCACGGCACAATCCACACGTTCTCCCCTCTTACACTCAATCTCATGGTCTCCTCCATCCTCACAAGAACTGAGGTCAAAGACCTGGAAGTGCTCAGAACAAGACGTCTCAACTATGTCAGAAATACCCTGGAAAAAAAATTTCTGTGTGAAGGCAGCAAGAGTTTTGGTGTTGAGCTCTTCCTGATGCAGGTAGGGATCAAACGTGAGCTGAGAGAGAAGGACAGCAGGTCTTTGGGAGATGGAGGTGTTTGACTGGACAATAGAATTTTCTTTCTGCTTGGTTTTTGGCTGAGGGAAATAGGAGGCCAGCCCGCTCACCTTATCTGTTAGGTTTTGTAACAATGTGTTGGTGTCAGTATTCTCAGCTGCAATTAAAGCACTGGCTTCCTTTAGCTTACACACATCGCTATCCAGCTCTGCTGTGAGCTGCAGGTCAACATCTGCACGGGATGTGGCCACAGCTTGCAACTTCTTGAAACGCTGTTGCTTCAACTCTTTCTCCTTACTCAGTGCCTCGAGTTCTGCCTCCAGGTCTTCTATTGCCAAGTCATCTTCGTGTGTAAACCCAGAGGATGAAAAAGAAAATGACCCCAAGACATCTGTGCTGTTCCCATCTGAAGGTCCGATGGTTTTAAGGACCTCACCCAAAGCAGTTTCATCCAGAATTGGCTTGCCAGACTTCTGTAGTTCCTGAAACGCAGCCACCTCCTCTGTGCTGAGAACGTTACTCCGGTTGAGGGTGCGACAGACAAAGCGCAAGAAGTGAAGGTTCTCTGGGGCGCAGTCAAACAGCCAATCAAACTCTGAATTATTCAGTGAAGATGCACCAGGATAACCCAGACGGCCCAGCGTCTCCACAAACTGGGTACTGTTTAACATGTTTAACCTGTGTTTGTTTCCTTCACACTGTGAAGGTCAATGCCAAATTCAAAAGATGAAAGAACAAAGAGTCAGAAGAGTAAAGGCAAGACATACATGTATTAACATGTATTAGCTTTTAAATTTTGATTATTCTGAGCACTTGGAGTTTATGAATTCATTTTTCCCCACAATGATATATAAAGTTAAATTAATATTAGTTACCAATGAAATAAGTAACTTTAAGTGCATGTCCATGGACACAATGTAACTAAACTGATTAGGTGAATGGTCAATGAATAGAAAAGGAAAGTCCTTGTTGGATCAAATGGATTTGAAATTACAGCTCATAGACCTACGCAAATCCCTCCTCTCACTGCTATCTATCTCATTTCAATTATATATATATATATATATATATATATATATATATATATATATATATACATATACTGTTCTGTTTGAAAGATAAAAAAAAATCGCTTACAACATTTTAGAAAGACAAAGAAAGTTATTAAACTGTTATCTGTAATAATATTTACTTTGACCCTTGGAAACAATAGCTTTCTGCCTGAGCAAATGGCTTATATTAGCTTAAATTAAGCTTTAATGAAAGTGTTTGAGTTGTCCAGTGTGACAAATGTAAATAAATAAATAAAAAAAAGATGTGTGCAGTAGAGAAAGAAACATTCATAACACTATCTTTCTTATATATAGTCATTTGATATTAGAACAAGTATAAGCTGGGTATGATTAAAAGCACAAACCAGGTCAGCAAGACCGTCAACTAAACGTTTGCAGCTCTAGCTACCAAATCCAAAATAAGCTCGTGACGACTAGCTTACTAGCTACAATTACCGGTTGCTGTAAGTTATTATTAGTCTGTTAAGGGCTGCTAAATGTTTTCCTAGTAGGTTTAGTAATTCTCGCTTTCATTCGTACGGCTTTAAGGCAATACTTACGGTTTTTAGTTCAAAATGTTCGTATTTTATTTACAATTTTCCAGCCTGATAACTTCTCGCGCCCATTATCCAAACTGAATGTGCGTATTCACGTAAGACCAGTGACGTTTTACGTTTTTACGTAAAAGGCTAGACTTAAAATTCAACCAATCACATTTGAGAAAATAAATTGTCTCCTCCCCTTTCGCGACACTTGATAAATTCACGGCTAAATGCACTTCGTTCACACTCCTGGACGTGTTAAAACAAAAAGATGTATTGAAAAGGCAAACTTAAACCAGTACTTAAAATTAGTAAAATTAGTAAATCTGTAAAATTTAAATTTGTACACATCCTTTATGATTGTCCACTGTTGGCATAACTCTTTGTCAGGTCTCTCTTGTAAATGAGTCCTCGAGACTCAATGGGATTAATCTGTATAAATAAAGGTTGAATGAATACTGAAGTCATGCTTTTTGTCTTTATGATTCGAGCTTCTTAAAGCAGGATTTTCATGTTGTCTACACAATTTTAATTCTGTATAAAGTCATTGTTGTTTTGATATCAAAAGAAAACGTAAACTGCTGAAAGGAAAATATATTCTTCCTGAGTTTTATACTTGTCTTTTGTTTGTAGTTTTTATATCCCATTTCTACTAATAATTGTATTTTTAACCATAACTTTGGACTGCACAACACTAGAAAAACTTGCAATGTGCAATTATATTTTTTCAATATTGCAATGATAATATCACTTGCAAAAAAAAAATAAAAATTTAAAAATTACATTTTCTTGCTCCTCACTTTGTCATCACTGTCCTCTAAACCAGGTGTTGGCATGCTGGATTGACCAAATATGTTATTAGCATGTTGAACATGACAGCACGGTACTTGAAATATACCATACCATACCATACCAATTTATTTATATAGCACTTAAAACAGCAACAAGGCCAACCAAAGTGCTGTACAAAAGAACCAAACATGCACAGCAGACAGGAAAACATAAAATAGAAATACAGGTACAAATAGCAGCAGAAGCTAACTAAAATGGCCAACAGAGTAGAGAACAGACCGGACCAAAACAAATCACACCGTGTTAAAGGCAAGCGAATAGAAGTGGGTCTTCAAGCGAGACTTAAAGACTGAGAGTGTGGGAGCCTGCCGGACACTCAGTGGCAACTCATTCCACAGTCGTGGACCTGCAACAGAGAAAGCCCTGTCACCTCTGAGCTTACGACGGGTTTCTGGAACTGAGAGAAGCATCTGGTCTGCTGACCTCAGAGAGCGCGGTGGGACATATGGCTGCAGAAGATCAGTGAGATAGGATGGGGCGGAACTGTTCAGTGATTTAAAAACATACATGAGAATTTTGAAATGGATCCGAAGGTGAATGGGTAGCCAGTGCAGGGAGGCCAAAACTGGCGTGATGTGCTCTCTATAGCCTGTACCAGTTAAAAATCGGGCTGCAGCATTTTGGACCAGTTGTAGACGAGCAATGGAGGACTGACTGATTCCAAACAGAAGTGAATTGCAGTAATCAAGCCTAGATGTTATGAAGGCGTGGATCACTGTCTCGAGGTTCTTTTTGGAGAGTATAGGCTTCAGCTTAGACAGCCGTCTCAGCTGAAAAAAACAGGATTTGACCATCATGTTTACGTGACTGTTGAGTTTTAAGGACGGGTCCATTATCACCCCCAGATTAGTCACCTTTTGTTTCTCTAGCGGGGCTAGAGAGAAAAGGTCAATGTCATGGTTCATGAGTGAGCCACTGGGATGGAACAGCATGACTTCAGACTTCTTCTCATTGAAGCTTAAGAAGTTTAAAGCCATCCAGTCCCGGATGTCAGCCAGGCAGTCAAGAAGAGGCTGAATAGAGCGTGTGCCTCTGTGCCTCAGGGGGAAGTAAATTTGGCAATCATCGGCATAGAAATGAAAGGGTATGTCGTGTTTGCGGAAGATAGCACCTAGTGGCAGCAGGTATAAAGAAAAGAGAAGGGGACCGAGGATGGACCCCTGCGGTACCCCCCACTGGAGTGCGGTCGATGCCGAACTAAAATCTTTGATATTGACACAGAAGGTTCTGTCAGAGAGGTAGGACTCAAACCATTTAAGGGCTGACCCTGTGATGCCCACCCACTGCTCCAGTCTAGAAATGAGGATATTGTGGTCGATGGTGTCAAAAGCAGATGTAAGGTCCAATAGGACAAGCAGCACAGAATCACCTGCGTCTGTGGAAATGAAAATGTCATTAAAAACCTTCAGTAGAGCAGTTTCAGTGCTATGGAGAGATTTGAAGCCAGATTGGAATAACTCAAGGATAGCGTGATCCCCCAAAAACTGTTTCAGTAGCCCATGATTTATTGCAGTTCTTTGCGACATTGATATTGCGCTCATTGATATCATGACAATAAACTTAGGATATGTACAGGCTTATAAGACTTAAGGTTTTACGTGGCAGTAAGCTCAAATGATAACTTAGCTCAGAAAGAAATTACAAAAATTGACCACAACAAGAATCAAAGAGGATTCAATGAAACTGGAAGAAACCCAGGGTTTGTCAAAGGTTGAATGAATGTTTCTGTCCAGCAAATATTATTTCCATTTAAAGTCGAGCTGCTTCCTACACTAAAATACCACATCATAGTTTTAATGTTATTAAAACCTTAAATATGCTTGTAAATGAAAATGATTATATTCTTAATTACTCTTCTTTATTACCCTTTTAGACTCGTTTGTCTAAACAGTTGTAAACAGAACAACGCTACTACGTCTGACGTCAGACGCTACGCTCTTATTTCAACCAATCAGATTTTACGTCGGACGTTCACCAGCACCTCGCTCCTCCCTCTCTCCCTCTCTCTCTCTCTCTCGCTCTCATCTTTTATGAGCCCTCGCGCTTCTCAGGGCTCAAAAGTAACTGTTTTTCGTCTCCAGCGTTTTCTTTTAGTGGACAGAGACAACCGGTGAGTCAAACAAACCGCGTAACGAACAGTTTCACTCAGAGACGATAACATGGAGGAATGTAGCAGTCTGCCGGACACAGTTTACGTTCACATTTCCTTTTTTTTTGAGGACCTCATAAAGGTCGTAAATTGTTGTTAGTTCACTTATTCGTATGTGTATCATCAAAAGCTTTACTACAGCGAGATGCTTTGTTTGCAGAAGTAAATAAAAAATAATAATAATAATAAACTGGAAATCGAAGATTATATGCGTATAACCACGGTTTTGTTCTGAACCTGTCAGTAACAAATGTATTAAAATAATTCTGAAGCTTTGCAAATGTGTGGTTATGATGTGACTGTGCATGTTCACATAGCCTCAGTTTGCAGAGATAATTTCTTCCCCTGTTTTCTGGTAAAATAACTATATTAACAGGTTAAAATGGCCTCAAATTCTTCACAGCACCATGTGAGGCATTGGTGTGTCACATGTGTTTAATAACAGCTGAATGTTTCCCCCAGCAGCCCTGAGGTCATAATCATGGTCCAGGCTAAATCATGGACTCTGGTTAAACACTTTGATGGCTTTCCAAAGGACAGCGACTTTAAACTCAAGGTGGAGGAGCTTCCAGAGCCCAAAGATGGAGGTAAAAAGACTGTAGTGAACTAATATCATCTTTAAATGGAGTGCATACTGTTTCATTTGTTATTATGCACAATATTGGATTTTTGGCTGACATCCGATACGATATGTTAAAACTTATTTGATCGATACCAATACCAATATTTTTTTTTTCCTAGATCTACTTACAGAGACTACATAGCTTTCCCTGCTGTGGAATTAAAATACTACATTATTCTGCATGGTCTTTGTCAATTTGGCCTGCTACCAAATGCAGATGCCAAATCCTTGCCATAGTGTTGTCATACAAAAACAGTGCCATATATATATATATATATATATAAACAGCACCTTTTATATCAGTGAGTTATTTTGATTGGATGGCCAATGTCCGATATTTAACTTTATCGCTAATATCGGCCGATACCGATACATCATAGTTGCCAAGTCCGCTTATTATAAGCGACTTTGGGCTTGTTTTCTTTCTAAAGTCGCTTGCAAATCTTAGGAGTCACAGGTTGTGTTTTTTGGGCTTGTTTTGAACGTGAATTTTCTTATTTGGGCTTGACTTTTGTTCGTAGTGAAACTAGTCGATTTCACACAAAAAAACCCAAAAGACGAGTGGTGGTAGGTAGTTTGTCCCTCCACGCCCCCGTTTCCTGTTTATCGCTCTCGCCCCAGTTGGCGAGGTGACAGACGCACGCACTCCTGTGGTCAAACACTAGGGGGCTCCACTCACATGCAGATGTCAGGATGTTTTGTTTTTAAAAATATGTAGAAAACATTACATATTCAAAATGGTTTTTTTTTTTAATCAGAGTTTAAAAGTATGTTATTCAAAGTGTTTAGCATAATTTAGCTGTTGTTTATGTGTAATGCCGTAATAAATGTATGTTTATACTGTTTAAAAACAGCCTCTGTTTTACATAATGTGGTGGGTTGCCAGTTGGGCTTGTTTTGGGCAGAGCTGGTTGCTTGTTTCTATCGCAAGATCTGGCAACACTGGATACCATGCCGATAATACTGTGCATCTCTAGTTTTTAAGAGGTTTAAATGACTGTGTTTTTTGTTTCAGAGGTGCTTTTGGAATCAGTTTTTCTCAGTGTGGATCCATACATGAGGTAAGTGAGGAGTGTGAACTGAAAAACGTGCTGTTTATTGGTATAAAAAGGGTTTTGATGTCTGCTGGTGGTCTCTCCAGGCCGTACAGCAGGGTTCGTATGAAGGAGGGAGATGTCATGATCGGAACTCAAGTAGCAAAGTAAGAACTGCGAACAAACACATGTATATACTCTTTTATCTGTCACGATACACTGTGCGTAACCAATGTGTACTGCAGAAGAACACAATCTGATGATCTGCAGTCTCTTACCAAAGCCTCTCTTTCATTATGAGTAAAGAGCAACAATGACCTCAGAGCATTCTCGGCAAAATGTTTGCACATGTAAATCTATTTTTGTGGTAATGTTTTAGTTGATAAACTTGTTTGATCCGTTCTTTCCAAAGAGCTTCATACGACTGCGTTTCAAACCGACGTGTTCTGTTTTTCTCTTCCTTTGAAGTTCACCACAGCGTGTTTAAAACATCTGCCACACAGCTGATGTGCAGATATCGGAAAAACAAACAACTCAAAACATGCTCAAGAATCCTGAAACTCATCTGTTTGTAAAACTAACATGTATGTCTGATGTGTTTTATTCTATAGACAAGTTGTCTTTTTTATTTTCCTACTCTGAAACATTCCAAATCTTACTATATGAAAATATTTTCAAAGATAAATAATAGTTTAGTCTTTTTTTTTACTTTGCAAAAGCATTGCACCTAATTTGACAGCACAGTACATGTGCCAGGTCTTTTACTGTTGTTTCAGCTGGTTGTGCACTTCCTATTTTTTGTACTTTGCAGTCTACAATTACGTACAATCACTTGTAATCAGGAAGAGCTGCAAACGTTGGGTACGTACTGTAACCCCAGATTCTATGAGTATAAAAGTCTACACTGATAAAATGTTGGGTTTTGTGACGTAAAAAAAACAAAACATATAGGCCACAATAAATAAGTTCAGAACTTTGTCCACCTTAATTTTGGCATAAAGGAAAAAAATATGAGTAGAAATATCAAAAGAAGCAATAAGCTGGTTGAATTAGTGTTTGCAGCTTTTTCTTTAATTAGTTCTTCTTGTGTACACAACTGAATTCAACCTGAAACAAAGTTCAGCTGTCCAAGCAGCAGATTCCTGGGTTTTAACAAGGTTCACAAAGAAAGCTCACAAAGCATCAGATGGATGTCTGAGAAAGGTATAAATCAGCACAGCACACGTCTAGAAGGATGGGGGGGTTGGCATGATACAAAGTGATTAAAAAAACAAACACGATTAAAACCACAATAAAAGTACAGAAAAAAATTGCATAGTTGCACTTCCATACAGAAACCACTGTATACTGTGCAAGCATGGTTTGAAAAAAGGTAAAAGAACAAATAAACAAGAATGGCAGAAACTCAGACAGGCAGCCGCTTGCAGCAGCGCACATTGTCAGCACCAGTGACCCAGAAAGGAAGAAGCGGGCAAAGATGATGGATGGATGGATGGATGGATGGATGGATGGATAAGATGTACTGACTGTGTTTTACATGTAACAACAATCTCATTTGCTCTCCACATGTTGGGACTAAGGAGTAGAGAGTAATTCATTCATAGAAAAAAGTCCAGACTTGACTAAATGTAAAAAAAATAGAGCAAGATACCAAAAATATGTGGCAAATGTGTTATGGACTGATGAACCTGAAGTTAAATTTATTGGCCTAATATCAAACAATAAGTTTGTTGCAGGAACAAGACTGGGTCCCCAGAAGAACACAATCTCCATAGTGAAACATGGCGGTGGCAGTATCATGTTGTGGGGCTGGGTTTCTTCAGCAGGAACTGGTGTTTGAGTCACAGTGGATGGATTGATGGAACAGTTCCAATTACAGTAGTCCTTCGTTTATCGCGGGGTTTAGGGGACCACGCCCCCAGCGATAAGTGAAAACAGCAAAGTAGCGATACAGTAGTCCAAGTTCAAGTAAACTTTATTGTCATATGGAATGAAATTATGTACACAAGTAGTAGTAGTAGTAGTAGTAGTAGTAAGTAGTAGTTTATTTTAGTATTTACCATAGTAGTACATAGTATTTAATGTATTAGTAAGTAGTAGTTTATTTTAGTATTTACTGTAGTAGTAAGTAGTA